CACATTTAATTATTTATTTAATGCTGTATTTATTTATTTAATTTTGGCACTTTTTATCCTCCATAGCCATCAGCCCGGTTCTTTGAGGTTCCAGGTTCAACTTTTTTCTCTTTAGCTCCTAAAGTTTTCTACTTAATTTATGTTGCTGTTACAGTTTGTTTCAATTTCTAGACAGTTTCTGTGCTGAAGTGGATTATTAGTTTGATGAAAAACCTACGTTCAGTTTTCTGGCAAAGCCCAAAAGTTCCTTTTTTTCCAAACAAGTTTATTATTAAAGATTAAACAAATGTTTTTGGGATGATACTTTCTTAGTTAAAGGTTGTCAATCCAGTTTTCTTTGTACTTTTCTGGATTTGTAAATGTTTTGTTGTTTCTAGGTCCGAGGAGAAACCTGCGGAACGACCTTCTGGTTGCAGCAGACTCCATCACCAACACCGTGTCCTCGCTGGTCAGAGAGCTCCACTCTGGTACATAACCTCCAATTTTTTTAAATGGTTTATGATGACTTAAAAAGAAAACAAGATTTTGTTCCAGTATTGTCCTGTGGGTTGTTTCCATTTTCGCTGTTTAACGTATGAACACTTTACCCCGAACAGATGAAGGTCGAGAGGAAGAGGAGAGGTTGCTGAATGGGAAGGACAGAGGTTTGTTAATTATTTTGGTTATTTCTTCCTTCTTAATAACTTAGGTTTCAGTTTTAATTCCGCTCAGGGTTCCTGTACATTCTACAGAAAAAAAATACTCCCTAATATTCATTTTCTTCCTTATTTCCTTCCTTCTAACCTTCCTTCCTGTTATCTTTCTTTTCTGTCTTCTGTTGCTCTTTTGTATTTCCAAACCTCATATACTCTGTTACAGTACAAGAAGAGATCCATCAATCATACTTCATTTATAGAGCACTCTCTGTACTGCCAGTTGGAATCCAAAATGCTTTACAGCATTTCAAAACAGATTGATATTTAAGCATTAGATGCAGACAGGTTCCAGCTAAGTCTGACATCTGGGAGGGAAAATTATTTTGCAGTAAAAACTACTTTAAAAGGGGGAGGGGAGGTTATTTGAATAACACAAGTCTCAGCAGCACTTTGTTGAACTCCAGTTTTATTAACCATATTATTAAAAATGCCAGAGTGGATGAGAAAGACTATGAATTTTTGATGATTGTGTATCCGGTTTTCTAAAACCCTCAAATCCGTGATGGCATATTTTTGGGTTCAAAAATGTAGGTTCGTAAAAGAGAAACTTAGTCCACACAGAAAAGGGATTTTTAAGAGCTTCTGCAGAAGGAGAGAGTTACACCCAACTCACTACTCTCTGATGGACTTCCTCTGCAGAGCCTTTTTATTAGCACATTTATTACACATATAATAACATATAATGTTCTGGATGGGGCTAAATTTTGGGGAAAAGTGTCATAAAATATTGCCCTGTGTGAATGCCACTTGTGTTTTTCTTTAAAATCTAAAATGCGGTTCTACTCTTGATTGAAACCACAATATTTTCTTTTCTCCTGGTTTCTTTTATGTGTTTAAAAATCAGTTCTTTGAATATCCATCTCCTCACTGGGCCTTTATAGAGCTCAGGTTCTGTCTCTAAGCGCTTCCCTTTGCTCTGTCTGTTATAAGCTTGGTTAACATGCCGTCTCATTAACCATGCTATATGGAGCCCCTCCTTTTGAAAAAAGGGACAGCCCTCTTCCTCATCTGCTCCAAGTTGACGTTCATTACGATGCTAACCTACCGTTCTATTCCACAATCCCTGAATAGACAGACATCCAAAGGCTGCAGTTCAGACGATTAGCAGGGTCGCTTTTTTCTTACCTCTAAAAGTCTTCTGTTATTGCTTTTTTCACCTCATAACTTATAAGGTTACTAAATTTTCACCAGCAAACAGGTTCTATTATCAGAGAAAACTAACTGCACTAAATACTAAATTTTCAAATCATATTTTCAATAAGGAAGTTAAGAAAAAACAATCCCAAACACGCCAAAGTAATTGTCTAATGACTGGTTGTCCCACATTTTCCAGCAACAACTGCCATTGAGCTCATGTGGTGACTTGATTTGCAAAATTATTGGAACTTAGCCACTTCAGAGGGTTTTTCAGCCTGTTTTTAAATAATGCTGCAGCATCACAGACCGCCTAGTCCAAACTTTAGCAAAGTCACCACAAAACCTTCATTTCCTTTTTTTTTATTTTTAGCCATTATAGATGTGTTTCTGGTTTGCTTTGGATCGTTTTGCTGCTGCATAAACCAACTAAGTCTAATCTAAGTTAACAAATGTTGTCCTTAAAGTTTTTCTGTAAAAGAGCACAATTCATGGTCCCATCCAATATTAGACGGATATTCCCGCAGCCTGCCGCTCTGGGTCCCTGAGAAAAGACCATTAACCACACAATGCTCCCCGGGCGCCTCACAATGGCAGCCCCCTGGTTTAAAGAGTTCGTTTTGTTGCTTTGTACTTGTGACAGTGCAATGACAATAAAAAGCTGGAAAACAAAATATTACAGAATAACATTATAGGGTGGTTGGCTGTAATCTTTCCTCTCTTAAGAGGCTGTACACCTCCAGGACTCAGAGGTGAGCAGTGAAGAAATTCCTTGTACTGTATGTGTTAAGGCCAGAACCCGCAACTCCATTTTTGCGTCGAGCCCCACAGAAAATCATTTCGGATGAGGCTGTGGCGTTTAGCATTCATGGAAACTCGGTGGGGATGATCACACCCATGATTTTCTGCAGGGGGTTTGTGTAGCTCCGACTTGGATAGACTGCAGATCTAATTTAGTTTGACTGCGCAGCAATTCAGCTGCAATTTCATTGGTCTGACAGGAAGAGAGACATGGCTACAAAGTAAAACACATCCACTTTGGGGGAAAATCCCAAATAAAATGTGTTAATCGCACAGGGAAAGAGTGAGGTTTGGAGTCGCATAGCGCATATATAACAAGTGGGACAGACTTGTGGAAAAAAAAAGGAAAGAAAGTGGATTAAGTAAGGATGCTCTTAAAGCCCTGCAAAAAAAAAAATAAAAAAATCGGACAGAAAACACAGTTTATCAATCGCCTCTTAAAATAAAAAGTTCAGGTGGACAGAAAACAGATATAGTGAAAAGTGGTCCTCTTTCAGCATCACAAAAAAAAAAAAAAAAAAAGAGCAGGTCAGTGAAGCTCATCATTCTCCAGTCTTTATCAAAAAAAAAATAACTCTCTGAGAATCACCTCTCTGTCTGAGTCAGCACATAAACTGGCATAAGCAAAGGGTCTACCACTTGACTTTTTTGTTCCATAACCCTCAGGATCATTTAAAAAATGCAAAATGACTGTCTTACTGCGTCCAACCTCAGCAGCGATCGCACGTTGTGAGAGGCCTTGCTTATGCAGCTGAACAATCCTACCATGTTCAAAGTCAGTGAGCTTTTTTGCTTTTGCAATCAGGAGGTCTTGACAATGTAAAGACTTGACAGAAAATGACATGGAATCCAGATTTTTGCACAGCTTTTGGCTTTTAAAGACGATGATCTAAAACTTTTGATCAGCTGAAAAAATTATGTTTGAGTATAAATGCAGTTTTCAGAATTTCTTCTCTCTTGCACTGATTTTTTTCCTTTAACGTTGTGAAGCTGGATAAGCGGATAAGCGGAGGAAGATGGATGGATGAACGTTGTGAAGCTCTACTTTGAACCTTCTTAAAATCCAATAGTGCAAAATGCAAATTCTTGCAATTTTTTGACTGGTCTTAAGATTTTGATCAGGAGTGTAATTAATGCTGACCTGAAAAACTTCCGGCCTCATTTACCTCGGATGCGTTGTTCTTGTATTTTTCTGTCCCCATGGATGAATCATAATCATCGAGTTCTTGGAGTTATTTTAAAGGAAAGATTCCCTACTGCTCCTTGTCTGAAATCCAAAACAATGAGTTTAACCGAATCGGTTAATTCAGGAGGATAGTTATATTTACACACAGGTACAGGTGGATTTGGATTTGGGCTGAATCAGATTAATCGGGTTAATTTTGATTAATCAATTATTGAAATAATCAACTAATTTTCTAATTGATGAATTGCTAGCTAGAGTATAGAGACTCTAAATAAGGCCATTAACTATAAGAGAAACTCGTAATGATCCGCAGCATTACAGTGTAACAAAAACAGGAAACACTTCTTGAATGGCACCCAACTGTCTTATCACAGTGGTTTATAATGTCTGTTAATAAAGCCTTCCTTTTCTGTTTTAGCAGGTTAAAGTGCTGAGGAAATATAGGAGGAAATAAGTGAGTAAATCCACACTATCATAATCTTTTTTTCTATTTGTTTACATCCTGGGTAACTACATCTGTTTCCAAAAAATACAAGCACAGTCAAACGAGATTAAGACCTTATTATTGAACTCCACTTTTATTTCTTCCATTTATATTATGTTTTATGGAGCAAAAGTTGGAAAGGAAAACCAAGAAGAGAACTACTTATTTTTCCTGATGATCAGATTAAATTTTTTTTTTCTTTTTGCACGTTTAACATTTTTTTTGTCTTGCCTTCTCTGATGAATTCCTTTCTCTCCAGACATACTCGTGATTCATCGAGGCCAAAGATGACTGACCGCACCAGGGCTGAGATGGGCAACAGTCATTGGTTTTAGTCTTCTATGCCCATCAACCAATTAGGATGCTGGACGCCAAACGACCGCAGCCGGTCTCTACTGATGTATAGTTGTGATCATGCGTGTGTCTTGTCGCAGTGTTCCCTGTTTTTGTTGTTTTTGATCTGATCTTGCATAATCAAATGAGGAATCTGAAAACCTACTGACATGTACTGTAGCATGCGTGTGTCGGAATGTGTGCTGATGCATCGTTTAGGTGGAGGAGGGTCGAGGAAGTGGGAGGGACTTGGAAAGGAGGATGCTTGGAGGATTTTTAGGGACGGGAAGCTTTTGGAATAGAAAGGAAATATTGAAGAAAATTAGAGAAAGTTAAAAAAGTGAGGACTGAGCTGATAAATTTTAGGTTTGAGCACTGTGTGCTTAATATTTATTGCTTTGATTTGTTTTTTTGTCATGTAATCTTTCAGTTTGAGTGCTTTATGTGTTTATGAGAGTGGTCAGATCCTGCTGAGACATTTAAGCTTTAATTTCCACGGAGCTGCCTCCATGTAGTGGAGGTGTTAAAGACTTCAGATAGTGTCTGTAATCATATTGTTTACAAAAACATGGACACAAAGCTTCCCCTAACTGTACAAAGTGATGCCACAATATGGACAAAAGCCAAATGTCATTTTCCAGCTCTGGTTCTAGCACTGTAAAAACAAACTTTATCATGGTGAAGTTGACTTTTTGGATATATTTTTGTCTAAAAAAAGACAGCGATAGAGCCACGGGTGCCTTTATGGCAGCTCAGAGGGTTCAGGCTTTGTGTATTCTGGTACTACAGTTGAAGAGGAGCTATCTGATTACTGTGGTGTGTGTGTGTGTGTGTGGATTATGTGTGCGAGTTTTATGAACAGTTTCAGTTTTGTAAAATAGAAAATATTTATCTTGATCACTTGAATAATTACGGTGCTTTTTAAAAGTATTCACTGCTCTTAAACGGTAAAAAAATCAGTTTGTCATTCAAAATCATGAAGAGATAATAACCTTAAACTTGATCTGAATGTTATGTCTTCCTGAGTTGGTGCTGCACTTCTTTTGCTTTTCACATATAGAGACGAAAATAGTCCTAAAATCATCTCCATCACATTGGACAGAGAGCCTCTGCAGCATCGTTTTAAGTTTCGCCACAGACTGACGGATGGATTTAAGGTCTGAACCTTGACATGGATCTGGTTTGTTCCTAAACATTCCTCTGAAGATCTGGCTGTGCTTTAATGGTCGCTAACCTACAGGAAGGTGAACCTCTGTCCAAGATGTGCATCCCCACATCATGATGTTGCCACCTCCATGTTTTTACTGAGGAAGATATGACCTTATCAAATTTAAGGTTTAAGAGGGATGGATACTTTTTAAAAACGCCGTAAATAAACTTGGTTTGGAAGCTTGAGGGCAATGACCCATTTTTTTGATCCCAAATTAAATCATACCACCTTAAAAATTCTGTCTTTTTGCATCTTTTGCTATTTTCCTTCTTGAATTTATGTTTTCGTGCAGGTCTTTACCAGTTCAAGAGAACGTCAGCTATACATGAAAGGAATCTGAACAAGTCCGAAATTTTAAGAAATGCTTTGCTTTGCATGGATTGTTCAGGTTTTGAAGTTTTTCCTTAAGTTCACACAGATACCCTACAGGCAGAAGCAATGCTGCTGTGGACAAAATAAAACAAAATAAAAAAAATCTTAAGATGTCACATTGATTCACGTTTCTTTTCATTTAGGTTTTACTGTGTAAACTCGAAACAGGAAGTCCTTCTGATTAATAAACTCAGTCTCAGTAGTTATATTTGTGCTTGTTAAAGCTGAAGCAAAACGGAAGTTAACATTTATTGAACAGACCTTAAATTATTTACAAGTTGTTATTCGTGTGTTTAAATTTTTTATAAGGACCTAAATCACTGAAGCAGCATTCTGTTATCCTACACTTCGTGTCTAGGCTGTAATTATTCTTTTAGTTTTTAAAAGACACCTGGCTAAGCCAACTTTTTACTTTGCTGTCTTTTTTTTCTTAATGTAAAATCTGATGAGTTTGAGTTTTGAGGTGCTAAATTCTACAAAGTACAAACCAAATACGTGTTTTGAGTCAATTCAATCAACACAACGTGCTTCAGTGCTTTTCAGAGCTTTGCTATTTGCTTGGAAGCTAAAATTCAACATTTTGCTCTTTTATGCATCAGTTTTTATTCTTTTTTCCCCAGTTCTTTACCGTGTTTGACTGCTTGGGACAGAGATTGTCACATTCCGATCTCCACAGTGATTGACTGGCTATATAAATAATTTAACAAACAAACAAGCTTGTGTTTCTGCATACATGTCTAACGCTGACCGAGAGTCGACAGACTCACTTTGACTTGAAACTGTAAACACCTCCAGTCCTGAACCTGCTGGAGTCGATGGTGTGAGTGAAAAGTGCATCTGTGTTTTATCTGCAATAAATATTTATCGTCAAACTTTGAGTTTCATCGGCTTTTGTGACATTTTGAAGGCTGTTCAGCAACAGGAAAACATGGGTTAGGTCATGAATGCCTCAATCTGTCCTGGAAATCTGTTGAAGAATTTGGAAACCACTCATCTGTTACTGGAAAGCTATCGTCGTAGGATTCCTGAAAGTCCCTCATGTGGAATGCAGCTTTTCTGAGTTGGGATATGGCCAGAAGTCCACTGTGAGTTGTGAGGGAGATTGTAACGTTTTGTCAGTCTTTTTAAGGGGAAACTTAAGATCTTTCAAAACAAAAAATAACCCAAGTAAAAATTTGGAAAATGAGTCACTAGAGAGAGAATTGAGGTTTAAAGCCAGATGGACCAGCAGTAAAGGATAACATGAAGTAGAAAAATATCAAATATCTGTCAACACATTTGTGCATTATTTTGCCTAACAAATTTTTGAAACATTTTTTTATTCACAACGAATCACTTTCACATTACATTCGAATACTTGCTGCGCTTGAAAAGACAAAGAGTCATAAATATAAGGTAATGAAGCTTAAGCGTAAATTCAGTCTGGAAGACTGAACCACCTGCGATGTCCCTCATTAAGCTCCAGCCAATCAACTCTGGGGCCGCAGCTTCTCCATAGCCAATCATCTTGCTACACTGGAAAAAATCCAAATCTAGATGTCATTTTTTTTCTTAAAATAAGTGCATTTGTTCTTGGATTGAGGAGGTAAAGGAGACATTTTGCCAAAACACAATTGCATTGTCTTATTTCAAGTGCATATTATCTAAATATCTTATTTTAAGAGTAAAAGTGTTCGCAAACCATCTCATTTACCTGCTCAAATTAAGGGTAAATACACTTAATTTAAGACATTTTTTACTCATTTTAAGATCGTTTTTGCAGTGTAGATCCCCTTCCTATGGCTACTGGTCCAGCTTCTCTTCAGAATGCAAGCTTACTTTCACCCATCTCATTCTCATTCCCTCTCATCCTCTGGATTACTTCACTACCAGTGTTCAGGCTCCGGGGGAAGACAAATTCTTTTCTAGGTTACTCATCCAAGAATATGTGGATTCACAGCACTGAAGTCTTCTGCCGAGGCCTGGGTGCCAAAGAACTTATTTAGATTGTTTTCATCTGCTTCTACCTCCTTGATCCCCAGTCGACCTCTGCAGATCGCCGCTTTCCCTGAGCCTGGTTCTGCTGGAGGTTTTTTTCCTGTTAAAAGTGAGTTTTCCTCTCCAGTGTCGCTACATGCATGCTCAGTGTGAGGGATTGCAGAGAGTTAATGAGTCCTCGCAATCAGCAGTTTTTTCTTCCATAGAAATATTTAGAAGAATATAATTGTGTTACCTGTATAAATAAATTCAACATATTTTATAATTGCAGCTTTTCTCTGTGTGAGTTTCGCAAAGTTGAACTAGAAATTACAGTTCCAGGCAACATCAATAAGCTACAAATGAATACAAGTAATTAATTGGTCTTCCCAAATGTCCAGAATTTTTGATGAGCGTCGGAAGATGTATTTTATTCTTTTTTCTTTCAACAGTGGAGTCTTGTGTAGCGAGTGTACATGAACGCCCTTTAGATGCACCTGTTTCTACTGACTTTAAGCTTGTGGGACATACTTCTAATTATTCCTTTGACTTTGTCAGAAGTTCTGCAAGGCGGACCTGCTTATAGTGAAATATCGTTCCCACCTCCTGCGTAGAAGAGATTCATCTGTAGTCCTTACCATTGGTGTGTTTTTATGTTAACTAAGATTGCAAAGATATCAAGAGTCTCTTTATGAAATGCTTCTTGTGCATACCTTTGTAAATATGACGAATAATGACGACTCGATCAAATGTTTTATTTTTAACCAATGGGGACAGGGCTGATTTTTGAATAATAAAATACTGCTTATTAATTTCCTGCATCGTTTCACATTTTTACAAGCTTTTCTTTAAATTTCTGTATTAGTACATCATTTTTTTTTTAAAGACTTTAATATGAACATTTTAGCAAAAAAAAAAAAAAAATTATCTAACCTTTATTTTACCAGGAATTCCCTTGAAATAAAATCTTTTTGGAGGGAGACCTGGCCAAGAGGCAGCAGTACACTAAGACATATAAGAACACAGGACAACATAATAAAATCAATCATAAACTAGACTCTAGAATAACAGTTACAATTCTCTGTGCAAGCGGTTTTCAATAGTATTTTAAGAAACTCTTTGGTAAAGACGAGTAAATATACCCCGATGTTAAACCCGCACCCTGCAGTTACTTGTTAGGGATATTGTATTAAAATATCAAGTTCATTTCTATCATTTAAAAGCCCTGTCTGTTTTGAGTAAGAATTCTGATTTTAAAGAAATGTTTGTTCTCCATTTTTGTTCTGTTTGTAGGCAAAACTCTTTGCAAATAATTTATTTGATCTGTTGAAACCTGTTTTGTTCTCCCAATTAAGAAGCTATACATTTGTAGATGGATGGATGGAGTGAGGGAGAGGGCAAGAAATAGGATGCATTGGAAGCAACAGGAGGAAAAATGCATCATGTTTTTCAAGCCCAACTTTCTTCTGCTTATTGCCGACTCCTTTGATTCAAAAACATCCTTTTTCACTTGCAGATGAGTCATTAATCAATTTCATGTTTGCTCTGACAGAGATTCTCTTTTCCACTCTTTAAAATAAGAAAGATTAATCTAACTTACCATTTAATGGAAAAGTGGGGACTGTCATAATTACTTATGACTCATGAGTCAGAAAATGGCATTAAATGCTCATTTCATGATGTCACTACCATAAGAGCAAATATTTGAAAGTTTAAATGAAAAGGAAAAAAAAAAACCCAAGGCCAACTATTAGAGAACAGCTGCAAAGAGTAAATGACTGCTTTAAATGGTTACATTTATCTGCTGCTTGAAAAAGCAGAAGCAGATATTAGTTCATGCCAGGAAAGGTTGTTTGCAAAGCCAGCTTCACATTTTTAGAAAAAAAATAGCTTTTGAACAGAAACAAACCTTATTAAAATGCATTTGGTCTTTCCAGTATTTTTGTCCCAAATCTACAGGCTTCTAGGTTTAGTGTCCTTATTGTTGTTGATTAGCAGTTCCCATGAGCTTCCTTCAGAGGTCAAATGGGAGTTTTTTGAGGAGGGGGTATGATCCATATCCAAACAAAGCTCACTGAGGTGGTTCTGTTGTTGGTGACCTCCCTGTTAGCTATAAATAACTTCCAACAATGACTGACAGGGACATGGTGCTGTTATGAGCCATGGTAGTAAAGATCACCCTTCTCTTCTCAGAGGTCAGTTTGAGTTTAAACTTTTCTTCTCTCATAAAAAAGAAGAAAAAAATCAAGCTGAAAATTCTGTTTTTTTGTTTTTTTTTCTTACATGGAATTTAATGAGTGATTTGACTCATTTTTACACTTTTTTTTTTATTTCAAATGAATTTAATCTATTAGTAATTCTATAAAACAAAACAGTTAAAGGTTTCATGCTGAAAAAATTAATGCAATTTGCAACTCTTCTCTTTTATCAGCTTGGCTCTAAATTAAAATGGATCATTCTAACCTGCCTGGTGTTATTGCTCCAGATTAGTTTTATTTGTTTATATTCCTTTCATTAAATTGCCCTCTGTACCTCTTCCCTGCAAAAAAAAAAAAGGCAAGCATCCTCTACTTTCAATTTAAAGATTCAAAATTTCAAACAGAGACTTTTCAGATCTTACCTTGCAACTGGCTATAAAATGTGAAGCTGTAAAAACTATATAACAAAAAAAAAAAAAACACTGATCTCATTTTAAAAAATAAGGAGTCCATAACTGTTCTTTATGGAAGCTATAATTGTCAATAAATGTTGAGAATTAATAAAAACATTCTTAGTACAGTGCAGTAAAAATATGCGATCTTTAGAAGCACCAGCTTAGTGTTACTGTGGTGATAAATACCAAAACGGAAGGCAATAAAGTAGTTTATTGTGAACAATTTGCTGCAAACTGAGGATGCAGTTATATGACATTTATTATGTAATTTCCTGAAGTAGAGCTGGTTGAAACTGCTGCTGCAGCCCTGATTATAAAGTGTACATTTATTTATTTACATGAGAACTTATAGCAGTATTTTCTCATCTTTCATTTTGAACATATTTTTTTGGATTAGACTGGACAATGCAAGCATGGCTTTATAATATCTGCAGCAGGTGTTATAAAAAGTGTGTGAGCAGTTATTCTAAAATATTGTCTTTGTCTTATTTTATTTATTTAAATCAACACCTGATGGTAAAATTGAATGTAGTCTAATTTACTACAAATGGAATATTTATTGAAGGCTTATTGTGCTATTTCTTAAAAATCTGCTTTGGATGTGAATCAATCCTATTAAGTAAATCTGTGTTCAGGCTAGTTAGCTTTGAGAAATTATAATTATAATGCTTTTCTAAGCAGTTTGTGCCAACTTAAAGAATATGTCCAAAAGTTTATCAAATTTATTGACATTATAAAGGTGTACAATATTTTTTATTTTTGATGCTTTCACGACATTATGCATGTTTGGTTTGAGGTTGGTGTTGATGAGGATTTTTCTCTCTTGGATCTCATAAAATGTAAAATTATCTCAGCAAAGACGGCGAAAACCTATATCAAATATATTTTTTTATGTCATAA